CAGGAGACTCGTTTATCCGCACTAATGACGGGGAAGACGGCTGTGATTAATTCTAAATCACGGATAATCCCAAAAAATATACAATTTTCGCTGATCTCTGTGCCAAAACCCACAAATATATGGAAACAGTATGTTTGAGTTAAAAAAATTAGTTTGTTAATGAACAAAACTAAAAATATAACAAGGAATGCATTGATCGTGTTTTTATCACTGAGTACGTACACAGTGAGAACAATTTCCTGCTCCCGAATAGAAAACTCGGCCCACGAAGTGGATCGCAGAGCCACGCCAATCAACATCAATCAAACTCCGCCCACTGCTGTTAAGATATGCAACCACTGTACTGTAGAGGCAATCACGTGGATTTCGTATTTAAGCACGTGACTTGTTATAAACATTCCAAGAACAGCAATGTATAACTGGTTTTAGATGATTAATTTGAGCTTAATGGGAAATCTAGTCATTATTAATCTATGTCAAAATCTCAGGTGCACGACTAATCTGCAAATCGGATCAACTGCATGCAGATACTCGAGTCTACTGTATCTTCATTTAATTGTTTTGATCCTGGTTCACTTTCAATAATTGCATTGGATATACACACCCTGATTTTAGACCCTATGTTGTTTCCAACCCCTCTTGCATGAATATCCGTGTTTTCAGCAAACCCGTTGTACTGTACACGGTGTCGTATGTTGCTCGTACGCATGCTTATCCTCCCCGTGGTTTATTACAATGTTGTGTTTTCATGGCTTCGTCTTTGACATATCTCGGGTGGTTCATATTTTTACGATTTATTATTAATGCCTTTATGTCTTCAATCCAAGTTTTCAGAAATAGTTTTTCTAGTTTAGCTGTGGATCACCTTTTTGAGAGAGAATATCTTTTTGCTGTGGATCGCCTTTTTGAGAGAGAATATCTGCTTGCCTGTTTTCTCTTGTAATTTGGATTTTGCTCCTTTATATAATCTCAGGGTAGCTGTTCCACTTTCATCATTTCTACACGCTTCATAAAGGCCTTGGTTTGTTAGAGCTATATTGACGATAATTTTACACAGAATCACATACATTTTCCAAATCTACAAATACTATGCATAACGTTGTATTTGAAATACTTTCGTCGTTTCTATAATCTGATCAATAGTCCAGTATGTTTGTTATGTGGTTAATGGTTGAAAACCCTCTGCTATAACCATCTTCTTCAAATGGTGAGTCAGGCTCCAAACTTACGTTTTTTCTCTGTAATCGTGGTGAGAAGTTGATATATGTGTGTCATTGTGGACTTCCCATCCTTGGTCCATTAGGAGAATCTGAGTCGGTTGCACTTTTTTAATATCGTCTTAAAACTCACCTATTCTACCAGGATGTCTCTATCACATAAGCTTCATGTGAAGCACGTTGAGGCCCTGTACAAATTGTGAAAGAGAAAAACTGAAAACTAACCATATATTTTACCCTTTCTGGCAATAAAATAGGTGTTAAGATGTTCAAACACCAAATAGACACCTTTAGCACATGTTTTATTGGCAGAAAGGGTGAAAACCGATTCTTATTCTATATACTTTGGTACTGGGAAAAAAGGTCCCATAGATAGAAAAAGTATTTTTATTATTTATTATTAGAAAGGAATGGGTCTGCAATTCTTCAAATAAGTGTTGGATCCATTTTTTTAATAGATTATTTAGCTTTAGCTACAATTCATGTTTGTTTTGTTTTTGGTCAATTTAGACAAACGCTCTCCGGGTTAATTGTAGATATATGTTCATACAATGGAATATAACTCAGTACCGGTTCTTGTGAACAGGGTAAATGTAATGCACTATACCAAAGACGTTTGCGGCATCCTACTAAGCACGTTTAATACATTTCATTATTTTAATTAATTTCATTCATTTAATGCACCGCTGAATTGTATCATATGCTTATAGCGGAGTTCATGAGCATGCTGGAGGCAAGTGCTAAAATATGAATAGAGTAACTTTGCAATGCCATTGTGTGTGTGTGTTTTTAAGGAAGTAATTCATTACAACTTATAGCCGTCATCGCCACCGAGCAGACAAACTGCTGTAATAGATTGAGGAAATTCCCGAACACTTACAGCAGTGGTCTGCGGCGTTAAGTCTGGCGCCATCGATACTCGCCCTCATCGCGGAGATTGTTTTCTTTGCTCAAAGCTCAATATCTCTCTTATCCACCGCTTCATCGTCTGAAATATCTTACCCCAAGTGTGGGACATTTCCTGGTACATTTACGATGACTTCAATCCAGCCTAAATACCCGTCTGTCTGTGTTGTTTTGACCGCAGGGTTACCTTGTATTTGTTTTAGCTCACAATTGCTTTTTTAATATATGGCATCAATGCATTGTAAACTGAAATAAAGATAATGCCGGCAGAGTTGACCTTGTGTACATGAGATGGTTTTTCTTGGCAAAATGAGCATATTATTCTTTGAATATATATAGAAAGTGACTGAGTAATCGAGACCAAAAGGAAGCACCGATTTAGAGTGTCTGTCTGCACAGCTCTCACCCGTGGCAGTGACTCAAATCAGACGCACACCAAACAATACATCGGATTTGCTTCAATGGCCAGTGAATGAGCACATGTAATTTGCTTAAACAAACAAGAACAGATTACCCCCATTATTGTATTTATCTCTTAAGGAAATGAGTATTGTTTCAAAACACAACTTTGCTGACACCCGTTGACATACTGTACATTTATATAATCCGGGGTGGGGGAGGGTGCCCAGTCATGGTTCATAGATCACGCGCTATTAGTGTTAGCCATGGCCGGCACAACAACTCAGATGTATCAGTTTAAAGGGCAGTGCGTTAACCACTGCGCCACGATCCTACCTACAGTACCTCCCATTGAGCTACGCATCTCATGTTCATTGTCGAGGTCAATGCCTGCAATGCATCTGATTGACAAAGAGGGGCAATTGTTTTCAGAGACATTCATTTCACAACAGGTGCCTATTGTCATGTTCAGGACAATTGGGACGAATTCCTTGTCTTTGAAAATTAGCGGTAAAGCAGAGTTCACCTGCTCACTAAATCTTTGCTCACCTATACATAATAACTCACTATATATTTTCCGGATTATTGGTATAAAATGCACTATCCCTAGAGCGAAAGGTAGACCTAGAAAATAAACTTGTAATCATATTAACAAGTTTATTAACTACGATACGTACCCAATAATGTCAGTATGTAACGCGCGTGACGTCACTCCAAGTCGACCGGCCCCCCTCATTAATAATCATGAACAGGTGACGTCCTCCAAATGGACACCCATTCATAATAATTAGCGACTGACGTCACTCCACATGGGGGGCCGAGGCGCCTCCTCCCCCCTCTTCGGTGTCAACTCACAACCCTCACTACAAAGGCAGAACCCTCACGTCACGTGATCTCCGTGATGCTATGGAGACATCAAAGTAAAAAGGACGTCGTGATGAACAAGGGATTATAACCTTTAAATGAAATAGGTCTGTGTCACCGCGCCCTTACAAATTGCACACGCATTAATGCAATGACTATCACGTCGCGTTCTGCTTTTCGCTTGCAAGTTTCAGATTTACTGCAATACACCCGTCCTTGGACTGTCAAAAGGCTCGTCAATATATATTCATACATGAACTCACCGTCGTTGTCAACGTGGTGTTAACGAAACACTGAATGAGTATCACGAGTACAAAGCGAGGCAAAAACGGATGTGGCTTGTTCAAAATAATTGCGGCACAGCATTCCGGACAGTTATTTTTTTCTCTTGCTAAAATTAGGCATCGTGGGTTTTGAGCAATGTAGTGGACACAACCCACAAACCTTTAATAGTCGTGAATGTTTACATGCGTTTGTAGAGCAGGGGAGGAGGCATCGGTGGCTCTCTGAAGCGCGTGTTGCAATTACGGAGCCCTCTTGCCAGATGGTTGGCATCCATTACGCTTTGCTTCTTTCGGTAAAGTCACGTATAAAGATAAAATAATAAATTAAATACTATGCTAGCATTTAATTTATTATTTTATAAATACTATGCTTGTATTTAATGTATTATTTTATCTTTATACGTGACTTTACCGAAAGAACCAAAGAGTAATTCCTGCAGTCACGAAAGCTCCAACTTATGTTTGGTTGGCATCCAGTTAAGCCACAGGAAGAACAGATCTGTGGCTGGGGCACAGATGAAAACACGTCAGACCCATTAGCTCTCCAGTCACGTAGAAAGTAGCTGAGTCGACTATTTAAATTAGTATGTGGATCAGCACATGTTGGTAAACCACCGAATCTGTAGCCTTGTTTGTTTTTCTCGTGCTTGGTAAAAAAAAAATGTTTATCCATGTCTTCGTTAGTCGTTTATTCAGATCACAGTACGGTAAAAACCTATTTGCACCAGTTTTGATACGTGACCCTGATAGATTATACTGCAATTGCCGAGCAAATGTGAAGGTTCGCAAAATAACTAACCAAGCGTAACTTGTAACTTATTTGCAGTGGTGGTGGCCTTTGTGTTTTTAATTCAAGTTAAGCTGATAAGCATCTTTACAAAATTCACGCAAAATACGACGAGACGAAGAAGAAGATTAATAATAGAAACATAACCGAACGCGTCAATGTCAAAATCACAGTGCACGATGCATTCTTCAAACACACGTTGCAAGCCTATGCCCGCATCGTACGGTTTTTTTACCGCTCTTTGAGAGCCGCGAGGTGCCGCCGGTGACTCATGCACCTGGCCAGACGACTCCGAGTGTCCGTGGCCAGACGGGTGGGTGGTGGTGGTGTCATGCTGCCCGGCGGGCGGGTGGAGCGAGTGGGTGGCCACTAGCGGTGGAATTAGCGGCATGGGTTTTTTTTGGTCCCGGCCATGCCTCCGTTGCCGCTCCCCCCCCTCTCTCTCTCTCCGTCATCCTTGAACCTCCCCCATCTACGACTCCCACAACTCTCCCCCGAAGCCTCCTCCATCCAGACGCTCCTCCGGATGTTCGTGTGACAGCCACCCCCACCTTTGCCCGCCACTATATAATGATGGCAGAGCCGTGCTCGCTCAAGGCGATGCGAGTTACGTTTGCGATTACGGCCTCTGAGACGGGGCTCCGGAGAGAAGCAGAGAGACATCTGTGATATTGAACAACGCCGGTCTACATTAGTCTCATGCAACTCAACACAACTGTTGAACGTTGTTTTATTTTAGATATCTTGAGCTGTCATACACACAGGTAAGAAAGCGGTGCTTGTTACAAAACGTCACTCAGACCAACTATGTTGCTAACATTAAACTTTGCAGAAATACATGTTTAAACATTCTCGATTAGTCTTTCATTTATTGAGTATCCTTTAAGAAAAATACTTAAAATAAACGTTTAATTCTGTATGTGTAGCCGAATTGAAATTCTTAGAGTTGCCCGATAATATAATTGACAACTGGAGTACGAGTGTTTTTTTTACTGTCATAAGCGTCTCGTCATAAATAGTTCACAGTTTATGACTTTTGCAGGTGTTATTTACGACAGGAAAGGTACACTCGTACATCAAATGCACACAAGACTAGCGTATATTTGTTAAACTAACGAACGCGGAGTCACCCGGCCGCTACAAATACAAGCTCGTCATGAAACACCAACAGAGCGAGCCATGTGTAATGAAACTGTGGGTGAATTTGCTACGTTGTTGATAAAACAATCATTGAACATACTGAATGCTCCTTACAATATTGTAGATCTGCAATGGAACACATATTTAAGCTCATAAAAAAAACTGTCCACACATTGAACGATTACTGCTCAGTAATAATTTGCTGTCAGTACAAGTAGACATTAACTTTTTTTAGAATGTTGTTTGGTCATTTTACGCTACTGCTCAATTTAATTTAACATATATATGCTCCTGTAAATGAGTGCGGTATGTTTCCAATCGGAGACACACAGTCAAGCGCTTGGGTATGAAACACGCTTTGAGTGCCCGTGACACAGACCCCGTCAGACCTCCTAAGGGTATCAAGGCTTGAGCCTGTTCAGTGCTTGGATGGGCGACCACCATGCGTAACAGGTGCTATCGGCTGTTGAAGGCAGAGCGCGGTGCAGTTAAATGCACTATTGTCGTGCACCTGCACACCAACGCGTCTATGCTAATCGCCTTGACCAACTTGCACTGCCCAGTGTGGTGAAGTATGGTCAAATAAGCCCCCGCAATCCACACGGTGCGAGGAGGCCCCCGCGCGTGCATGCGAGTACTTTGAGTATCGGCAGCCTGTAAAACGTCTCCGAATGTCCGACTTGATCTCCGCAGATCTACAAGTCCCGAAGCGATGATGCTGCTGCTGCTGCCCACTCCTCTGCTGGTGGCGACCTTCTGCCTCCTGGTGGGCACGTCCGGGACTGCGTCGGGCAGCCCCACGATCTCTCTCTCCAGCCCCAGCCAGAGAGGAGTCCTGCACGGAGCGTCAGAACAGCCTCCACCCCGGACCTTGGGAGCGACTCGGATGACGGGCACCCATCGCTCGAGCCGTCTCCTCCCTCTGAGCGGCGGTGCACGTGCGGAGGACGCTACTCCGGCATCTCAGCCGCCACCGCCGCCGCCGCCGCCGGGCAGCGCCAGGTTGAGCTCGCGAGGGCGCAGCAACAAGCCCACGCTGGTCTTGTTCGAGCTCGACGACGATGAAGACGACTACGAAGATCCTACTCCGATCCCGGCGAGAAGCCCGCCCCCCATCGTGGCGACGGAGAAACCGCCCCGGGTGAAGCCGGAGCCGCCCCGTCCGCCGAAGACGCCGATCGTCATCGAAACGGTCGACGACCCCGACGACCCCGACGACGACGGAGACGACGGCGGAGCCACCGGCGGCGGAAAGAAAGCGCCTCTCGTCCCGCCGCGCCGAGGCGACGTGATTTGCGACTACGACCCGTGCCGGCACGGCCAGAAGCCCTGCCACGTCCTGCAGCAGGAGACAGGCTGCCGCTGCGCCGGCGTCGTCGAGAACAAGAAGCCCCAGGCGCCGCGACTCCACAAGGTGGACTTTGCAGACGACCTGACCGTGGAGGTGCAGTGGTGCGCGCCGGAGTCGCAGGTCCTCGACTATTACCTGCGCTACCAGGAGGAAGGCGACGTGCGGGATCACCGCACGCACCAGATACACCCGACGTGGCGGCGCTTCACGCTGCGCAACCTGGTGCCCTCGAGCCGGTACAACGTGTGCGTGGTGGCGGTCAACGCCGTCGGGGAGAGCGAGTGCGTGCGGGTGCCGTTCGAGATGCCGCGGGCGTACCGGGAGGTGGTCATGGCCTGCGCCCTCGCCGCTTTCTTCGCGCTGCTCGTGGTCATCGCCGTGCTGGCCGCCTGCCTGTGCCGCAGGAGGTACAGGGAGAAGAACCGCGTGCTCATTACGCGCTACAACAGCGAGGACCTGGTCAGCGCCCAGAACCCCGTGTTCACGGACGAATTTGCAAAGGTGGATCAGGTGGTCCACCTGGATTTCAGCACGTACGGCAAGGCGTGACGACTGCCCGACGGCACAAATGACATTGAGCAAGAAACACTGTCTTTTATATGTTCTGAATACACTGTAGTCTTATTCCTTTTTGAGTTGTCTGCTCAAATGGCAGGCCCCTGCATCAATTTCCCTCCATCTCATCCAATCGTTGGTCGCACATCTCCGTACAGGACAGAATGTAGGTGGCACCATAATCCGATGCAGATTAATGTCAAAACCAAGATAACTTATTTTTATGGTTCGGTTCTTAATGGTGGTGGATGGGTAGGCTTATTATTTCACCTAATTGCATTCAATTATTCAAGTAACTTTGCGTTGTTTGATAATGTACTTACACTTTAACTATGTGTGCATTCCAACGTTTTCACTGAAAATGCTTTGTTGCACGAGTATGTCGTGTCTGTCTTTTTTAATGGTGTGGGTGTAATTTAAAACATGTTTGGAAAGAAAAAAGCGAAAACATATTTTGAAAAATGGTCAATGAACATATCTTTTACTTGCGTGGTGGTGGTGAATTATGCTGTATATTTGATTTTTAAATGATGCGACGACTGCTTACTGGATTTGTATATATGGTACTTACTTAGCAGCTTATGAGTTCTAAACAGAAGATGTAACGGTTATTGAAAGATGTAAGTTATATTTCATCGTTTTGTATTTATTTCGAGAATTGACCCCATTCAATAAATTTTCTAATATTTATTGTATTTTGTTTCGTGTGTTTTAAAGTGTTGCACAAACCCATACAGTCCAGTACTATTAAACGTGGTGCTACCTTGGAGTGACGGTCAGCACAATGGACTTGGAATGCAGAGGTCGCCAATTCAATTCGATGTCCCGGCGCGACAGTTGAAACAATGGGGCAGGTTCCTTAAATCAGCCCACCTCTGTCCACCCAGCAGCACAAATGGGTTCACCACAATTAGCGACTGGCAGGTCGCGTGCGGTGGAATAAAGTGTGGGTACTCCCACTTGTTTCAAAATGTGTGGAAGACCAGACCAAAACGCCCTCTAATAGAGGCTATCGAGAGCTCCCTATAATACAGGGCCTTCTTCCAGCGTACCGCCACCACCGCCCGGCTAACACAATGGTGCAAGTTTGTTAAATCTCTCCCACCACCTCTGTCCACCCAGCAGTGTCGATGAGTGGTGCACCACAATCAATCGGCAGGTGGCGTGTTGTGGGGTAAAGTGTGTGCGCGCTCTGCTCTTTAAAAGCACCTGGCCAGGATGGAAGAGAAGGCTACATACACTCTCGAGGGGCTCTCTGGAGCTTTATTCAGTGAAGACTATTCTGCCAGCATTGGTGTCAGCAAGCGATTGCAGACCTGCACCTTTATCTTTTTACACATGAGTAAATGGTAGCCAATTTCTCCTGCTTTTTACTCAAAATCTGACAAAAAGTTTTGGTCAGCAACGCTGCACTTAATTTGCCAACATTCAAACATTGAGATTTAAAAACACAAGTTTGACTATCATGCGACGAACATTACTGTCATGTGGCGGAGCGGATGAGAAAGTGCTGCCCCCTGCCGTATGGACCAGAAGTACCTTGAAGGGATTTCAGCAGTAGCTCTGTGATATCCACTTATGTGGGCAGTTCTCCAACACGAAAGGTTGCACTGCTCTGCTAGAAATCCCAATGGAATTTTCGCCTCATTTCATGATGCCAATTTGCACAAAATTGTGGAAAATACTTTTTCGAATCGTTGAAAAAATGTCACAGGTCTTCAAATCCCCCACATATGTATATAAAATAAACGTTTGAAGACATGGGTTCAAAACTAAAACAATATACAAACCTTCGTCTCCAAATATTTGGAATACCCAAGATAGATAGTGTTACGTTTCATACTTTTCTAGTGATGAGCATTGCCTGATGTACAAATCTGCCTAATTCAGCTGTCTCGCCCTTCGAGATGAGCATTAGTTACTCATGACCGGCTGTACAGTATATGCGATACTAAATAAAGTCGAGATACCGGGGCACGAAACAACAGATGCATTCACTCCGTTAATTGTATTCCGCCCATGTTCAGTCTAGCCGCTGTACGAATGTTTTCTCCACCTTGCATCACTGAACCCACACCTGTAAACATCCAAGGGGCCGTCCATAAATGACGTCACGCACCTAGGGGGGGGGGCGGGGTCAGACATTTGTGACGATGTGTGACGAGGGGGGGGGGGTGTTTGAGAAATGTGACGTCACATAAAAATGCGCAACTTTAAATAAATCTAGACAACAATTTTATTGTTTTAGATTTTATTTATTTATTATTTTATTGTTTACCTTCTACGTGACTTTACCGAAAGAACCAAGAATATGAATACGCATTACAATGACAATAGTTTAAAGCCATTTTAAGCATGTTTTTTTGGGGGGGGGGGGGCAGAGCTTTGTGACGTCATATTTGAGGGGGGGTCTGACTTGTTGTGAAGCCAAAATCCCAAAATCGCGTGACGTCATTTATGGACGGCCCCCAACGATTCCACGTGTGCAATGACGTCAATGGGAACACGCTAGGTAGATGCTGATTATTAGGTATGCGGCACCTGCTGAGGTGTGTAAACACCGGTATTGGGGAGATAAAGGCCGCCGGCCGTGGTACTGGCGACCCATCCCCTCGTGGGCTTTGATGGGCTTCATAGGTGCTCGCTAACAGCACTTGCCCCAACCGTCTATTGAGGCTATACGGGTCTATGTGTTTCTAACATTCACGAATAAGTTGTTTTCCCCACCTGATCATTTGTACCAGTCGTCAACAATAGGTTCACACGCAAACTACAAGCTGCTAAATCCAACACATTAAGGGAGCACTCGATTTTGTTGGAGGATTCCTGGGGCAATTAGGAACCGCATTGGGCACACGACACATGGATGCAGGGGTGAAAACAATCGCGAGCAGGTCGGAGTGGTGGTGTTGATAGTTGATACCGACGTTGTTGATGCCCTCTGGCGTCGAATGAGAGTCGAGGGCACTGCGCGACTTTGCAGTGGACGTGAAATCGAGGCTGATTCTCCACATTGCGCATGGTCTTGAGTCAGCTATGATTTGGGCACTGCTGGATTCTGTTATATACTTGCGTACGGGAGTTTGTGGAGTTTTACCATTCCTCCTCGTTCTCCTCTGCTGAAGGAGCTCACGCTACACAGCAGTGCGTTTTACTACGTGGGTGTCCATCGTTTGAGTTCCATGGCCACAATCGCTTATCTTTCAAGAAGGGGACGGTGCACTGCTGAATGAAGGTATTGGATACTTCATGAACGCGATCTAAATGTATTATTATTATTGTTCACAATACGGGAGCGTTCTTACGAAAACGTGTGCATTCACGCGTGTGTTGGTTTAACCCACGTGTCCTTATGCCACGCTAGGTTTGAGCATGTGAACATGTTTTCGATTTAAAGCTTTCGTGACTGCAGGGATTCATATTCTTGGTTCTTTCGGTAAAGTGAAGGGAAGTAATAAAATAATAAAATAAAATAATAAAAATACAATAATAAAACTAAAAACAATAAAAAAAATTAGCTGAAAATTGATTGCTGTAGTTTTCACACCTGATGATGATTGCTTGTGTTGCAATCGAAACGTCGTAAGAAATTGTATTATGTTTTTATTATTTTATTATTTCCCTTCTACGTGACTTTACCGAAAGAACCAAGAATATACATGAGAAAAAAATTTTACACTTAAAAAAAAAGTATAATCCCTCGGTATAATTCTGTCGTTATCAATAACTATCCAGATATGGACATTCTTGTTGGTGAAGTTTCGGAGCGATTCGATCTAGAGGGGGGTAGGGGGAGGTTGTAGTTTACGTGAAAACTTTGGACGCATTCATGGAACGTAGTAAATAAAATGGGTTGTAGTTCATAACAAGATAAAAACGGGCCTTTCTCACTCCACTGCTGGTCAACAAAGGATTCTCTCCTCTCCGTATCGATCTTAGAAGGGGTTTTTTGTTGTTCTTGCACACTTCACTATGAGCAGTGAAGGTTTGGCAAAGAGTAAGGGGGTGTAACGTGATTGGTTCAGCTATTACTTGCCACTGATGTTAGCCGTGGCCGGGAATGGAACTTGGGGGTCGTTGTACGAATATCGCTGGGGTTGAGACTTGGCCACAGAACAGCTATGAGAGTCATGGTCCAGGAGAGGGCGCAACTACATCAGAACAAGTCAGTGTGCCTGCTGTCAACATGTGATGATGAGCTGTGCTAACACACACTCACCTTGTTATGGGTGTAACTCATCCTCTCGATAAAATATTCAACAAACCCGCGTTTAGGTTTACAGTGCAGTATTGCTGCTGCAGCTGCGTGTAGCGACACGCAGGAAATAGCTAATAACCAGCAGATGAGTGATGTCGCAGCGTAGGTAACAACGTTGGTTTTTGTTTAATAAAAAGGTCAGAGACACGACTCAATTTCATCATCATAGTCATCGGCCATGCTTAATCCACTGCTGGATAAATGACTCATCCAAGCTGTCGCCGTACATCACGGCAGCCGAGATGCAACAAATCACCCAGAAGCCACCCCACGGGATGGTTACGATCTTAGAGCTCCGTCTATTCCCCACCGCTGGCTGTCCTTTTGGAGTGACGTGCCCTACCTCAGCCCAACTTTTGCTAACATTTGAATGTGTATCAACTGCGTATATTCGCCAATCAAGCACGTGCTTCACTCTCTCTGTCTCACAGTGTCATCCCGAGGATGGCATCTCTCCACGCTTCGTTGTGTGTGTGTGTGTTTAAGGGGTTGTTCCCTTCGTGTGGATTTGGCGATGACCGGTAACCAGCGGTGTCAAGATCGACCTCTGTGGAGGAGGCTCGTGAAGGACGTTGCTGAGCAGTTGGAGACAGTCGTTCTCCAACAACAACGGAGGGCGGAGGAGGGAAGCTCACAACAACGAGCGGAGCGCCGGGCCGTTAAAATCCAGCAATTTGGCACAATAGGGGGCACACTCTGGTACATATATTGGTCATTTCAGTCAGTCAACCCATGGCACCTGGGTCTGTCCCGTGACTTGTCAGCGAGCTGTCAACACTTCACGTCATCAAGTCCAGCTTCTCAGTCGCTCTCCAACCCATCCATGGTCACCCGCCACTTTATTCCACCCTGTATGGTTCTGATTTGCCTGCCAATAGCTGTGCATTATGCGATTCTCCAATCGCGTCCTTTTCCTACCCTCCTCACGTGCTGTGTACTCGATGAGAACTGTGTGTACTAATGTAAGTAATCATTTGCAGTCTGTTCCAATACACTGCTAGATCAAAGTCTCCCCATGCCGTGTCGATCGTGGGGGGGGGGGGGGGTGTTGGGCCATACTTCACCACGTTGGTCAGTGTGGGGTTTGTGAAGGGGTAGGGGCGGGGTATGGTGTAGGCCAGCACAGACATCACTCTGAAATGTTTCAGACATCACCCTCCAATGACGTTATCCTTGGCCAAGTATTGAACTCAGGTGGTCGGGTTCATAGTGCAATTGCTAAACCGCTTTGTCATCATTCATTGTCTTTACCAGTCCGCTTCATCCAGCAGTGGATTTAGAAAAAAATATGTCTGTGATTGGATGGAATTGGTCACGTGTTGTTTGCGAAATACGACTTAAAACTTAATGACGGCATTCTAAGTGCATTGATTCCACAGGATGTATATACATTCCCATCCTGTTGGTGAGCAGGATGAGTTTTTTTGGGG